TCCACGACGTAGAGGGCTCCGCATTCAACTGATCACTTTCTTCATTCGGACCGGTAAGTTGTTTTTCCCTTTCCTCTGTTGTTTTGGACCTAAACCACGCAATCTCTGCTGGTTGCATGCGTCTTATGCTTCCTCTCCTGCATTTCATGTCCGATTCTAGCTCTAAGAGTTGTTCTTGATCACCAAGTGGTGGTGTGTAGGGTGTTGTCTAGGTTTCTCACAACTCAAGGTACCGTTGAGGCGAGTCTTTGAGCTGGGCTGTGAAGTTTTGGGGTAAGGAGAGCTAGAATACTTCTTTATAATTAGTTATATGTTAGGTGTATGTATTGGATTTTGCATTATTTCTATTGTTTGGGTTACATTTTAAGTTTTGAGTGTATGAAATGGTATGTATTGTAATGTTCATCTATAAGTCTGTGAATTGTGGTTTGTGAACTGTGGTAGATGTGATGTATAACTGTAATTGAATATGTTAGATGAGTATATTCTGAGATAGCAGTTTTTATGTTGAAAGTAAAGAGGTTTGGTAGTGTTTTAGGTCATTATAGAGTTAATGAGGTAGTGCTTTTGAGAGTTAGAGGTCAAGGATTATTGTGGTCTGTAGGGGCAGTCTTAGTAAGTGTTTTGTGACTTATTTGAGTCACCAAAGTGGTCCAAATAGGTGCTAAGTGTTAGAATTGGGTTTGGGGTCCTCAAGTTGTGGAAATTGATGTTTAAGAGTAAAAGTTGAGTTGTAATCACTTTGGAATTGTAGTAGGAAGGTTTAGGAACATCTAGACAAGTTTAATTAAGTATAAAACACGAATTAGGGGTGTTAGAAGTTGGGGAGAATGACTAGAAATGGTAAAGGGTGTGTGAGTTGCATTATTCTGCAGAAATTTCGTTCTACAGAAATTTCGTTATACAGATTATGTAGACTCGTTATGCGAATGGTCTCGCATAGCGAGTCCCTGTAAGGGATGCTCTTTGTTTGAGTCATTCGTTGTGCAAATGACTGGAGGGTGTTGCTCTCTGTATGGTGATTCGCATAGGGAATCTGGTTGCTGTGCGACTGGTGGTGGCCTGAAGCCTCTGCCAATTTAATTCGAAAGGCGAATTGGGCGCATAGCGAGGCGTTTTAGGGGGTTGATCTCTGTCTAGGCTCTCGGACAACGACCTGAGTGCGCCATGCGAGAGGTTTGAAGTCTGGTGCATTCTGCGAGTTAATTCGCATAGCGAGAGGTGTTGCTGTGCGAACAACTCCTGTCTCGCCTTGCGAATCAGGTGCGTTGAGCGAATCATCTGAATGACATGTGCTTTTTAGTTCCTTATCTTGGTTTGGTTTTAATACAATGTTGTTTGAGATTTTTAGTGTTATTGATGTTTATGGTTAAAGTGAAAGTGTATGAATATAAGAGTGATGTATATGGTTTAAAGTGAAAGTGTGGTTAATGGACGTAATTCCATTATTCTCAAGGAGAGGATCCATGGTGGTGCCCTTTGTATGTTTAGAATGATGTGTATGGAAGCTCAGTCTTGAGGGTTATCCTGAAGCTCCAATAGTCTTTGTTCTCACTTAGAGAGGATCGATCTATGTTGTGAGGAGTATCAGGAGATCTTAGTCTTGGAGGTTCCAGTATGCTCCAAGGCGTGGTACAGACTAACCTCGTGAGTGTGGTAGGGTGAAACCCATTAGCAATGACTTTGCAAAGCAGTAGAAGCCACCACGAGTGCATGACCCGCCATAGCTCGACAATTATTCTAAGTCCGGACGAGTCAAGTTTTAAAAGTGTAACAAGTTATGTTATGTGATCCAGTAACTTTGAATTAAACTTGTATGGTGTGAGTGATTGTTATAACATGATTTTTGTATATCAAGCTCACCCTTTTGCATGTTTGTGTTTGTTTGTGTGTGGTGTGTCCTTTTTGCAATGATCATCCATTTGGATGTGAGCAGAGGTAGGTGAAGTGCCTCTAGAGCAGGCCTTGGAGGAAGATGACGCTGCTGCTTAGCCTAATTAGGATTTTTATACGTTCTTGTATTTTGAAATACTCTTATGCGTGTTTAAAGTTTTAAATTATAGGTATTTTGGGATGACTGTAACCTTAAGACTTTATCTGCAAGTCTTTTTCTAACTATTCTATTATATTAAAATGTGGACTACTATATTATATAATTCTATATAATCCGGGACGTTACATAATTTTAGTATTTTCTGTTATTATAAAAATAACTCACTATATATATATATATATATATATAAATTAATTAAAGGTTTAATGTCACCTGAAGTCCCTCTTTTTGTCCAAAATCTTAAATAGATCCCTTTTCTTTTTAAGGTATCAATTGGGTCCTTTTTATTGTTAATTTGATTCAATTAGAGGTCTGCCGTCAAATTCAGCAGACGACCATTTAATAATTGGTAACGTGACATGCTCACTTAAATGTATATTGACATGTGGCATTAAAATTGATTTTTGTTTTAAAAAAAATTAAGGAGAGAGTTGATACTAGATGGAGTGAAGGGCAAAGGTGGAAAAATTAAAACTTTTTAGGGCTTCTGTGAGCAGGCAAGCTTGAAACTCACAGAAGCAGCAGTTGACTTCCATCTCTTGCAGACAGAAGTATGGCGGAAGAAGGAGGAAGTTGGTAGCCATGAAAGCACCCTCTCTAAGAGATCTTCATTAAGGTCATCCAGAGAAAAGTCATTCAAGTGTAAAAAGTCTTCATTTTCTGGAGACTTTCTTTTCCAACTGTGTTCCATTGGCCAAAAATTTAGAGTAAACAACTGCAGAAACAACCAAAGTATTAAGACGTTATAAAAAAAATCAATATTTTCACTTTAATAGCTTTTATCAATCATAAACACCAATTAATGTGAATTAAGACTTTCAACTTAAATGGGTAACGACAAAAGTTTTTTATCTGCACCCAAAAAAGCGAGTAAGCAACAAAGAGCAGAAGAATAATAATGACAGAAGAACAAAAAATCAAGGGTTTTCTCCTTCTACCACCGCATATGCAATGGGCAATCGAACATACAACACGATCTTTCCCCTTCACACGAACCGTAATAATAACAACCTTTCCCCCAATATTTTCCCCCAATTAAAGGTGACAGCCCTAAAAATTTTTAATTTTTCCACCATATCCTCATTGCCGGAATCCAACACAACCGACCCGGAGCTCCTCTTCAAGCTCTCGCTACGCGTCGCCATTGACGAGCTCTCCAAGCTCTCTAACTTCCCTTCCAAGCTCCGTGCAAATGCAGAACACGATGCGCGTCTGCAGAAGGCGACCAACGTCTGCAGTTTCGTCATCGGTGACGCGCTGGACCGCTTCAACGACTCCATCTCTGCGCTCGGAACCGTCACCGGAAGGATTGTTTCTTCGACGAGCGTCAACGACGTGGAGAAGTAGCTTAGCGCGATGCTCACTAAAAATTTTTAATTTTTCCACCTTTGCCCTTCACTCCATCTGATATCACCTCTTTCCTTAATTTTTTTTTAAAACAAAAATCAATTTTAATGCCACATGTCATTACACATTTAAGGAGCATGTCACGTTACCCATTATTAAACGGCCGTTTGCTGAATTTGACGGCAGACCTTTAATTGAATCAAATTAACAATAAAAAGGACCTAATTGATATGCCGAAAAGAAAATGGATCTATTTAAGATTTTGGACAAAACGAAGGACTTATGGTGACATTAAACCTTAATTAAATGTGTGATCTAGAAATTTTAATAATTTATAAAAATATTGTTAAATATTTTAAGTAAAATATGAAATTGTTTATTAGTTATAATTTAAAAAATGTATTTTATTTTAAAAAATTAAAAAAAATAAGAGTTTATGAATAATTATTTATTAAAAACTATTATTAAACATTGTTGTTATATTGTTACAAATCAAAAAATATAATTAGATATTATGTCATATATTATACTTTAATTTTACATTATTGTGTTATTAATTCATTTAGAGATATTTTTTAGAGAATCTTAAAGAGTTTTTTAAATCTTTATTTTGTACTTAGTGAATACTATTACATATTACAAGGAAATGATTCTTCAGTATTTTTGTATTGTACTTATTTATTGTAAGGAGTTAAATGAAACAAAATATAATCATTTGTAATTTTCTTGTATGGGTAATATTTTACCTACCAAAGTATGTTTTTATTATATGTTTTTTAATTAATTCATATTTATTATTGTATAAACTGATCATTAATCTTATTCGGTTGTTTTGAAATTAAATAAGAATAAATTCTAAGTTATGGTCTAAATAATTCTTTTCCTATTATTAGATTATAGAAATAGATCCAGACTCTAACGACCCGTGAAATCTTAATCTTAATACTTGTATTAAAATTTGATGAACTTATTTTAGGTGTCAGAAATTAATCTAGAATTACATTCAAAACTCTTAAAACATGATTAATTACATTTTTATAAATAATGACTAAACCATTAAAAACATTAAAAGTAGTGAAATTTTGAAGTCAACTTTTTTAAACAAAATTGTTTTGTAACTTATTACTCTTTTAAATCATTTTTATTTTCTTGTATAAAATCTATTTTCATACTTCTCATATGCGTTTTTACTGTCTCTTTCAAGTCAAATTAGTTTAAAATTTATGTGAACTCCTCGTCCTCATGAATACTACAATTATTATACCATAAGCTATCTAATATATTTGTTAGAAAAATTAATTATTTGAAACATCAACAAAATTAATTAATCAAAAAGATAATTATTTATGATATAAAATAATACTTTTTTTTTGCTCTGTCACACATATTTATAATGATTTCAGGATTTATAAGATGCTTATTTATTAATATTTTATTTAGTTGACTGTATTTTAAGAAAGATATTTAGATGATTCATTATATCTTATTCTTTATGTTTTTTTTTTAAATTTGATTATTTTTTATTTAATCATTTTGTTTTAATTCTTCAAATTTAAAATAACTTATTTTAATTGTTAAAATTTTAAAAAAAGTATAACTCTTGAAATTGCCAGCGCTTGCGTCGCTGAACCGGAGTTGAAACGGAACCTCGCTGAACCCCGCCTTCACTCCCTCGAGACTCATCCCGACTGGGGAGAAAGCTTCCACGGCGACGCTGGTCTCAAAGCCCTATCCTTTTTTCTTAATCATCGTAGTTGCTGGGAAGTGGCCCTGTGAAGCACTGAGAAAGTGTCTTTAGAGGTACTCCTTGTTTCACCTATTATCCGTGCTTTCAATTGATCGTGTTAAATTGTTTGATGTGTCTTCCTTTCAATCAAACTCTTGTGGGTTATATAGACGTCATATATGTAATTGGGCTTAGGGAATAATTTGAGATATGAGAATAAGAATAATTGTGGGAAAGATTGTCTTGTGAAGTCACCTGAAAATCAAGAGCCACATTCGCTTACCCAAACTATGAATTGTTTGTTGCACTCTTATTGGTCTTTACCAGTCTCCATCCATACCCTCATGACAGCGTTTTACCTACATCAAACACAATAACGTAATTCTTTACCCTTAAAATCAACTTTATTAAATATATCGGTCTAAGTCAATTTCAAAAGTTAGTTCATAGTCTTAGGATAGGATTGCTTTATACCCAAATTCTCAAATTATTTTAGATTCTATCGGTAACTGCTCAACATATCGAGCTCTATGTTATTAGACTGTGATTTAATTATGTAAAATGTTTAATCCTCGGTATGAAAAATTATTGTAGATTCTACATTTTATTAATGATATTGCACAATGGAAAGCAGTTAAGGACAATTATTGTACGTTCAATTCTCTTCTATCATGCAATTTATTTTTATCGATTTCTACTTTTTTTTCATAAAATTTGCAGGATGGAAAGCAATGAAGACCAATCACTTTCTGAATTGGAGGAAGAAATTTTTCAAAAATTCAGGGCTTTCATGACAGGGTAATTGCTAATCTTGCGAGTTGTTAGCTTTTTGTATTTTCTGTGCTAGAAATCACTGGAATATTTTTGATAGTTGCATTTTTGTATGGAGTAAATTAATTATATGTTTTCCTTGACCTCAATTGTATGAGGGAAACCGGGTATGTTGAGAATGAGTAGACAGAAAGAGAGGGGATAATCTATTAGTTTGTTATAGGCAGGGAGCATTAGCTCTCTGGAGGAGCATTAGCTCTCTGGAGGAGCATTGCTCAGTTGCAGCGGGAAAGTTTCCCATCTGAATTTTCCTTCAATCATCAATAGTACCAGTGTTTCTATCAGTTTTCCTTTTCTATTACTTTATAAGAAGCTTGGTTCTCTAAAACGAACAACACACTCACTCATAGATAAAGAGGGGTAGTCTGTTAGTTTGTTATGGACAAGGAGCATTGACTATCTGGAGGAGCATTGCTCTGGGGCAGTGGGAATGTTTACTATTTTCCTATGACCATCAATGATAGCAGACTTTCTATCAGTTTTCTAATGCTATTCCTTTGTAAAAATCTCGGTTCCCTAAGACATACATACTCATATATTCATACATAGAAGGAAAAAATTATATTTTGTATTCTGTTTATCACATCATATATATGTATAAATTTTTATTTCTCAACAGCTAACCTGTGATAGGATTGCAAAGATTGATGAGTTGGGAATTGCTGGAAGCAGGCTGCTGTCTGGATTTCAACAAGCAATTGGTAATTATACAGAACTTTTTTAATCACGTGTTACTGTGACATCATGATATTGCTTATTATTCACTTTTAGGGGGCGTTTGTTTCAAGTCATGATTTATCATTCCCTGGGACGTAGTCTACGAGAATGTTATAATTGGAAAGTTATTCCTAGGCATATCTAAAATATGATTGGTTAATTTTTCATATTTCTGATAATACTTTTTAAATTCTAAATTAATAAGTTATAATGGAGGTTAGAAAGTAACTTCTATCATTCCCATGAGAACATAACTTACCCAGCCCCCTTATCATGCATATACAAATTGTACAAACAAAGGTATGCAGCTTTCTGGGGAAAAAATACCCTAAAATACTTTTTATGACCTTCTAGCGAACATAGGAAATGAAATTCCTACTTTCATTTTTCTGGGAATACAAAAGGATTCCATGAAACAAACGCCTTCTTATTTTATAACTTTTAACTTAATTGTGCAGAGTTTATCGGGAGACCTCCTATTGATATGAATTCCAAATTAGTGGACAAGATAATTGTAGCTAATGAAACTAAGAGAGTTAAAGCCTATATAAATTCTGGATGTAGGAAGCTCAACGAAAGTATCCAGAGTCTAACAAACTGTAAGTTCTACTCTTTATTTTTTATTTGGGTTGGTCGTCTCATTCCACTATTAGGGTATATCTCAAGACTCAACAAGGGCTTAGTGACTCATAAGTACATTTTTTTTTCTTAACCCTTTTAATTTAGTATTGTGTATTGAGAATCAACTATTAGCAGTGAATCTTCTTTATTGTATTTAACAGGAGTATGACAGATTGATTTCTTTTGAGTGCAGTGTTAAGTTAATATTGGATTATTTTCATATTTTTTCTCAAAACTATACTCATGCAGTTTTACAAAAGTTACTCTTTTTATTCACGAATTTTGTTCTCATTTTATTCTTGTGACCAAAATTTAGCAAAGCATTCTCTTCAAGTCAGATTAGTTTGCGGTATTCCACCAGTCATAAAGGATATATTCATATATGCTTATCTTCAACTGGCTGAACTTTGTTTCTATAGATGACGTTTTGTTTTAATGAGCATAGTTTCCTTATCCTCATCCTTTTTCGACTACTTCCACATTCTCATCTTCTAATTTGCCTTTGCTTTCTGCCTATATTCTTGAAATATTTCATCCTAATCATATTGAACTCTAGAACTGTTGATATTCATCCTATGATTACCAGATCTTAAAATGGGATTATTCAACTGAGAATTCAACATAATCTTCTTCTCACTAATGCTGGGCCCGGAAATGTAAAACAAGCTCTTCAAGACTCTAAATGGTTTGCTGGTATGCCTAATAATTTTTCTGCTTTACAGAAAAAATACTTGGACTCCCCGTTCCTTTACTTCCTTAGGATTACCATTGGCTGAAAATGCGTGTTTAGAGTCAAAGAAAACACAAATGACTCTGTAGAAAAATACAAGGCCGGATTGGTTCCAAAAGATTATAAGATTTGGATTTGATTTTTTTGAGACATTCTCTCTGGTTGTTAAACCTTTCACGATTCGTATCTTTGTCACACTTGCTCCTACTTACAAGTGGCCTATCTTTCAACTTAATGTAAACAATGCTTTTCTAAGCAGGCTGGCTTCAAGAAAAGTTTTACATGTCTCAACCTTAAGGTTTGAAGCTGTAGGTAAATCTCTAGGCTGCAGGTTCAATAAAGCAATATATGGTCTCAAACAAGCTCCAAGTTTGGTTTGAAAGGCTAAAGAGTACCCTTCTTCAGTTTGGCTGTTCTGACAGCAAATGTGATCCTTCGTTATTATACAGTCGTCCCTTTGCTATCATCTTTTTCATACAAGGATCCAAAATTCTTTAATAAATGCCTCTCTTTCAGAGGCTGACACTTGGTGAATCTGAGACTCTCCTTTTGTAGGAGTAGGAGCTTCAATGAGGTTTGAACTCGAGATATTGGATTCGCTGAAAGGCTGTGATACCATTGTTACGAAAAGGTTAACCTGTTCATACAATGATCCAAAATTCCTTAACAAATGCCCCTCTTTCAGAGGCTGACACTTGGCAGCTTGGTTAATTCGGGACTCCCCCTTGGTAGGAGTAGGAGCCTCAACGAGGTTTGAACTTGAGACATTGGATTTGTTGAAAGACTTTGATACCATCGTTACGAAAATGTTAACCCGTTCATACAAGGATCTAAAATTCCTTAACATCTTGTTGGTGTATGTTGATGATGTTATTATCACTGGGAGTTCACAATCTCTCATACAGCAAGTTGTTACTCACAAGAATTTCAATTTACTCTGAAACAAGTTGGTTCCACATATTCTTTTCTTGGTATGGAAGTTCATGAATTACCTAATGGGTCTATTCTTATGACTCTAGCTATCAAAGACTTATTGATGAAGACTAATATGCATGAACCTATGCCTATTTCATCTCCTATGTTATCAAACTTCAAGCGATCTAAACATGGCTCAGATCTGTTACAATACAAAACACTTCTTTCTACAGGTCTATTGTTGGTGCACTTCAGTATGTCAATATTCCTCATCCTGAATTTAGTTTGGCTGTCAACAAGGTATGCCAGTTTATGGCTTCTATGTGGAATCTCATTGGGTTGCAGCCAAAAGAATTTTGTGATATCTCAAAGGGGCCTTACATTGTGGTCATACTGTTCATCCTGCCATTCCTTGTCAACCTCTGACTATTCTGTGATGCAGATTGGGCAGAAGATTCTGATGACAAGAGGTTTATTTCAGGAGCTGCTATTTATTTGGGACCTAATTTAGTTTCGTGGTGGTTAAGAAAACAAATAATGGTTTGTAGATATAGCTCTGAAGCTGAATACACAAGTTTAGTAGCTGTCACATTTGACATTTTATGGATGTAGACTCTTCTCAAGAAACTCAGTTCCTCATTATACTCCTATGGATTTGTGTGACAATTGACTGTTTTTAATCTAGTTCATAAGCCTGTTCTTCATTCTAGAACTAAGCGCATAGAGCTTTATGTTTTCTACATTTGAGAAAAGGTTACTAACAAACAACTTGTTCAACACATTCCTGATCAAGGCCAATGAGTTCTCATCCAGCCATCGTCTACTACTAGCTTTTTGTCTTTTGTAGGGTCAAACTCAATGTAATTGAGATACCTCGGGTTTCTCAGCTGCATTGAATTTGTGTCAGAGAGGTGACTGTATCTCTTTGACAATGTTATTGGTTGGTTGTGTTGTTACAACTGTTAGTTTCTGTTCTGTTTTAGTGTATTTACTATAGTTGTTTCGAATGTAGTCAGTATAACTGTTTTAGTTAGATGATATAGCTAACTTCTTGCAACTAAGCTCTGTATATGTAGTATTCTGTATACAGAAATTTGGTATTCTTTTAGTATCTTTTATCTTTACATAATAAAATTCAAGTATCAGCGTTTGCTATCTGCTTGCAATTATGTTTCTTTACAGTTATCCTGTCTGCTTTTCTCACTCATTCAGTTTCCCTCTAATTCTTTTGTGTCTTTGTTCCAAAAGATATCCGCTTGAATCAGCATTGTACAATCTTTTGTTATCAATTCTCCGTTTGAATTATACTTGTTGATTTATTGCTATTTATTATGCTGCTGACTATATAACTGTTTCGATATGGCAAAATATGCGTACGGAAGTTCACTCATGCACACAAGGACTCTGTAATCATATAAGAAAAGGTATGGCCTCGTGTTTTTGATTGATCCCTGACTGCTATGCTTTGATAAGCGTATACATCCTATGATAGATTTGAATATGTATACTTATAAATATTGGAAAACAAACTCGTTGAAATGCCCTATCCAAATCAAAGGTAAATTTAGGAAGATGAATTTCCAAATTGGAGGAACCTTATTTTCATTTAGTCATTATTGTTTTCTAATTTGCATTTCTTAATCAGTAATGGGATTCTTTCTAGCTCCTCTATGAAAATGTTTTGTTGTATTGTAGATACTAAAGTTGTGTTTGGCCATCATTAATATAAAAGTGCATATCGACTGTGTGTTGTATATAATTTCTTGGGATGTAAACTTTGTCATAACCGTCATGGTGATATTGCCTTCTTTGGTTTAGTATATATTTTTGTTCAGCTTATTTTAAAAATAATTGTTTATTTAACTAGTTCTGAGAGAAATTTTGAAAATAAGTTTTTAATTCCGGAAATCAATCATTCCTAAGCATGCAGTTAGTTTGACATTTAACTGGTCATGTGTATTTTGCAGCTAAGGAAATACTTAATGAACTTGAAGGTGTACTGGGGGATGTAACAAGTGCTATTCAGACTACAGATGGAAAATTATTAGCCTTCTCTGGTCTGGATTTTGATGTTGAATTAATTGAGCAAGCAACCTATAATGATTTGGTAATTATTGCTTAGTTTGGAAGAATTTCTCATGTAATTGCTGACTTGTTTCCATATGTTTCTTGTTAGTCTCCTTATGTTTATTTGATTGAGTTTCTTCTCCTGCTATTTGATACATCTTATTTGAATTGAAATGGTGATTGAGTGTTATGTGAAGCTTGTTATTATAATCTATACAAATAAAACCTGTTACATAGTTTGTTATTTGCTCCTCTACCCCCGTTCCCCATTGTGCAATCTGACCCTCAACTCCTGCATAGAAAGTGAACTCAAGTTCATGTAATGCAAGGTCACTGACCTCTTTGTCTTCTTGATTGGGAAGTTGTAATCCACTAAATTCAAGAATCATTTACATGATATAAATATAGTATTGGAAATTATGAAATGCTTGCTTACTAGAACAGCAATTGCACCTTTATTCAGGAGGAAAAGGATGCTTTATATCATTCTCAAAGTCCTGATGTCAACACTGGCAAAAAAAAGAAAAGTGCCGATGTCACACATTTAGCCATGGTAATGGCTTTCATATATAGCATGGTCAAGCAAGAGTATTTGATGCAGGTAATGAATGATGTCTTTTTATGACCTTGTAGTGGTTAAAAATGAAGAATCCTAAAAATCTTTGGCTATTGTTGCAGGAAAAGATTGTGTCTGCTTTAGATCTCAAGATGTCGTTAGAAGAATTAGAAAGCTACTGCCAAATGTGGTCTTTGCGCCCCTTCATAAATGACGAGATCGTGCATGGAGCTTGGGAACATATTCATTGAACATTCTTTTGTTTTTCATTATAATACAAAAGTTAGTTATCGTTGGGCTGGATAAAATTATATAATGCTATACAAATATCAAAAATTGGTTTCCCAACCCTTTCTGAAAAAGTTACTCATTTGTTGTTAACTGAACCTTCACTCTCAGCTCTATCAAAATTTCAGCTCTCACAATTTACATTGTTTTTCTGTTTCTTGTTCTCTTTTCTCGCCAGATTTTCTATGTGCTTTCATTGCTCACGTAGTAATAATAATAATAATAATGACAGTAAAATTATTATTATTATTTTATTTTATTGTATGTCATCTTGCAATTAATACTAATATGTCTACTCGTATTGTATGTCATCAATATTTTTGTATTCTATATGATGTATAATCTAGAATACAAATTTGTATTATCGGTTTGTATATTTTAGAATACAAAATAAAGAATGCATTCTCATTATCACAATGTATTTTTAATAAGGTAAGCCTTTGAAAAATATAACACTGAATTTGAAGGAAGAGTGATTGGAGAAAGTGTTTGTTGGCTTTAAAAGAGTGAGGAGAATTACGCTTATAGAGAAGGAGAAGCCACTTAAGGTAATGAAACTTCGTGCTCGAGCTTGCAGAAGGGGTGCACGGTTGGCGTAGGAAAAAGATTACGACAAACTGGTAATTTCATTAATACATGGGGTGCAAATTGAAATTATGAGGTTGCAAAAATAAATGCCTATCTTCAAACTGTGATCCTTCATCAATGCTATTTATTCCTCAACTTACATTTTAAGATTTGAAAATATATTTTAAATTCTTGGATTACACAATTTAAAATTGTACCATCCATAATATATTTTTAGATTACACAATTTAAAAATATATTTCAAATTTATATTTTTAACTATACAATTAAGAAATATATTTTGAATTATATATATATATATATATAAAGAGGAGAAATTACAGAAGTAATATAACCTACTTCTATGAACATAATTTTTTTTCATTGAAATATTTTTTAGATTATAAAAGAAGAGTTTATTTAATTAATATCGAAAAATATAAATGATTACATTTGGAATTATCACTATAATTTGCCAAAAGTGAAAATAATCACAAAAAGAAAATATATATAATAATCATGATAAATTTAATAAAAGTGAAAATAAAATAGTATTACAAAACATAAAATAATAATAATAATAATAATAATTCGTCCATAGTATCACCATGCTAGTGTTTTTTATTGACTAATATCGTCTTAAGTTTATTGTTACATGAGAATAAAATAAAATACGTATTAGTAAAAACTAATAAAAGTCATGGACTATTTAAGTTTATTCTATTTATCATTACATGCTAACAGAATATGAGAATTATTATTATTATTAAATACTAACTGTGAAGCATATTAATAGAATGATTTTTTTTACTACATAAATTTAATAGCCACTGATTTCAATTAATTCAAATTATTATCTTTTGGTATGTCAATCAGTTCGAATAGCTTTTTTTTTTAATTTATGAGAAAAAAAATAACAAACTCAAATAAATAATTATCTTTAATTAAATGTTCATATATATTACAAGGTGTTTTAGATTGCGTTTTGTATGGTAGCTATGAAAAAGTGAAACAACAGAGTGAATATTTTGAAAAAAAAAATACACTCAATTTATATATATTTTTATTTTCAACCTAATTTAATATAATTATAGTTATAACTACGTAAGAAATCTTAAATATTTAAATAATTGTTTTTCACACGGATAATTAAATTAAAATTAAAACTTTTAACTATTTTTTAATGTAAATAATCATATATTATGTAAGAAATTTATCTTCTATTTTATTTTGCAATCTTAATAATCTTCACTAAAAAAATTATGTTTTTATTTTAGCGATAAAAACAAGAAAAGTTAAAATAAGATAAATTAAGCTAAAAATTGACTTAGTTTAGACATAGTTGATGAATTCTTGAATTTGAATGGTTAATAGCGTCAATGCTAAAGTTGAAATTTTAAACTAATATTATCTTATTTATTAAAATTCAAAGGATAAGCTATGTCACAAAACTACATATATTCTCAATGTAAAACATTTCTTGATATAATTGAATTGATTTTATACTAAAAATGAAAATTAAACATTGATAGACGTAATTATTAAAAGGAAAATTTATGATAATTAAGCTATAATTAAAAATTGGTTATGAAAAAACACATAAGAAATAACTTTTCGTTCTTAAAAAGAATCAATATGCAAAATGCTCAAGAGATAAAAAAAATACTATGGAATAATATTTCACTATCAATTAGGCTAGATATTTTATTTTCAAGAATGGAACAAAAAAAATGGAAAATGATAGAAGAAATAGTGAATTTGTGTTTAACTTCCTATTTTTCTTTAGAAACAAAAGAGAAAATGGTTCTTGTCCTAATCATTGAGTTATAATTCATTCTATCAATTCAATAATATATATTTTTCTTACTGAAAATTAGCATAACTTAGTTGTTAAGCGTGTAAAATATTTTATGTTCCTTATGTGTGAACTTATAAATTTATAAAATTATAAAATTATAAAATATAAAGTTACATCTGATAATAATAAATAAGCCAAAAAAAAAGTTATTTTGTGACATCATCCACTTAATAATCATGTCATCCAAAATTATGAAAAACTTGAAAGTTAATTAAACTTTAATATATAAACATTTTGGTAAAAGAAACTATTCAAAGAAATTGCTTGTTTCTCAGTTAATTCTATAGTGTTTTAATATAATTCAAGTATTTGATGAAATTAAGTCAATTTTAGAAGTTTTTACTTTAATAATTTATGCTTTTTTTTAACTTATATACAATTTAGTCATTTATATAGTTTGATTTTATTTAGCACTATAGTTAATTATGGTATTTCATCAGTATGATTTGTAATTTTACTTTGTTTTGAAATTGAAGTATTAAATTATTGCGATGTTAAGGAACTTCCGGTTTCAACTGTACAAGTGGAATTTGTCAAAAACTCGAGACACACACAAGTACAAATAAATGTAATGCTTTCAAAAACATAACACCATTGAAACAACTCAGGTTTTATTGCATTCCCTGGACTTTTCATCTCCCAAAAAATGACTTCTCTGTCAAAAAGGAAACATAAAGAACAAGACAATACCTGGTTTGCAAAAATACTTTAAAACTTTTTTTTTTTGTTTCATAGCCTTTCTTTCAAACCCAACTAACCACGTACTTAATGAAAAACAAGTAAATTGATACTAGCATAGCAAAACAAGTAAATCTCCTAATTAGGCTTCATCAATGATTGGACCAGCAGCAAGAATCTCTTCTGTGAGGTTGTTGTTCTCTCCAATCTGGTAGTCAGTGAATGTTTCAAAATTCTTCTTGAACAATTTAGCCAGCTTCAGCAGTGTCTCCTTGTAAGCTTGTTTGTCTGACCACTGAAATCAAACAAAATTTCTAATCACTAAGGACTTTCAAAATAGAAAAGTAGTGGCAATGATTGAAAACTATAAGAGTTGCAGCACCACTAACCGTATTTTCAGGGTCTAGAATTTCAGAAGGTACACCATCCACTTCAGAGGGGATATGAAGTCCAAATATCTCAGTCTTGTTGTATTCAGCCTCCAAGAGACTTCCAGAGTGAATGGCATCAATAATTTTTCTTGTATAAGATAGTTTAAGTCGACTTCCACAGCCATAGCTGAGTTTTGCACAAGCAAAAACAAGTTAGTTTTATTTCAACCGAAAGTGGTTTTTGAAAAGAGTGTGAAAGTGTGTTGTTAACACTGTTGTTCAATTTTACTAGTACTAAAACGCTTACCTTCCACCAGACCATCCTGTGTTGACCAGCCATCCAGTTGCACCATGGTTCTGCATTTTTTCAGAAAGCATGGCTGCATACTTAGTTGGATGTAGCATTATAAATGCTGCTCCAAAGCAAGCTGAAAATGTTGCCTGTGGCTCCTTTACACCCTCCTCTGTGCCTGCCACCTATAGTCCTCATAAAGAAAAGAGCCAATGAGAGAGATTCAGAGGAAGCAACATTATCAAGATAGAATGTTTAAGTTACTCAGACATTACCAGAGCTGTGTATCCACTGATGAAATGGTACATGGTCTGTGACAGGCTCAGCTTACTCACAGGTGGAAGCACACCAAATGCATCACATGCCAAAAGAATCACATTCTTTGGGTGAGGACCAACACATGGTAACTTCACATTTGGAATGTACTCAATTGGATAGGCTGCACGAGTATTTTCTGCAACATGAAAAAACAGTATTATATTCATCTAGCTATCGACAAGGTCTGTTGTAATTGATTTATAACTAACTATTTATCATGTTCTCATGCTCCACTTATTCCTGTAGTTTAGTCCACTTTATTGTTTATTCTCCAAATATAGTGCAAATCAAATGAACTAGTCTGCATCAGGAGTTTTGAAAATACAGGTTGGATTTGTTAAGTTTCATCCTTATCCATACATATTAGTAGTTTAATAATCAGCCTCTTTTATTTGCAGGAGTTGACCTCAGATATTGGATTTGTGTTATGATTCAGAGATATCTTGCAAGCACACATTAAGTCAACCATTAATTTGATATGACCAAGTCACAACTACCAAGTCATCACTTACCTGTAACTGATCTGTCAGAATAATCAACTTCACGAAAATGGTCATCAAAGACAACATTCTCCAGAACTGAAAACCAGGTGAATAATAAAAATGTGTCAAAATTGGTGAAGTCAAAGATGAAGAGATGTTTAAGTAGTCTAAGACTAATAAAAGGTAACACCTGTGCCAAATTTGATGGCGTTCCAGATGTCAGGCTCGTTCTCCTGAGAGAGATCAATGCATTTGGCATAGCAACCCCCTTCAATGTTTGAGACACCACTCTCACTCCAACAGTGTTCGTCATCTCCAATTAAATACCTATTATGATCCGTGGACAGAGTGGTCTTTCCAGTACCTAATATGAACAATTGCAGAAAAAAGGTCCATTAATCAGTGCTGCAAAATGGAAGAGG